ACATAGCTACTGTCTTTGTTCTGTACTTGGCTTCTCTTCTAAGTCTTGCTGGCCTACCACCTGTATAGAATACACAAGGAATCCACAGTCTATACTCTTAGCAATGTCAACTTCACATCCCTGAACTCAGGAAATTACAGTGTGGAATGAGTTTCTTTATTTAACTAAGTCTATACATAATTTGCTACAGGTGGCTGTCAACCTAAGCAGGGTCACTGTCAGCAGAAAAGGTGTAGTTCTACACTCCTGCTCAAATGTGAAGAGTCATTAGAAAGGAAGGGTGCTAAATTCAAACGGAGTCTTATTATTAAAATTTAGGTAACACACTAGGAGGAAACATTTGCAAGTCACATATCTGACAAAAGACTTATATCCAGAATATACAAGGAATCCTTTCAACTTAATAGATAAAAGAAAAGACAAGTCAGTTTAGAAATGGGTAAAATATTGGAACAGGCACTTCAAAACAAGACATACAGAGGAAAACATAAGAGTATGAAAAGACATCATTCAAAGGGCGAACGAATGTTCAGGGCAGTATTATGGATGACAGTCAAAAAAACAATGCAAATGTCCCTCAACTAATGAATGGATACACAAAATGTAGTATACTCATACAAGGCAATACTATTCAACAATGAAAGGGAACAAAATAACGATACACGCTGCTATGTGGATGAACCTTAAAATAATGCTAACTAAAAGATGCAAAAGATTACATATTATGTCATGCAAACCACATATGTGCCCAGGTAAGACGAATCCAAAGAGATAGAGTCTACGTCAGTGGTCGTCTGAGGCTAACGTGAAAATACGAAGTGACAGCAAATGGGCACAAAAGATCTGTTTTGGGGCGACAGAAAAGTTGGCTGTGGTAATGGTTACACAACTTGGCAAATTCGACTAAAAGATCATTAAATTATACATATAAAATGGGTGAATTTCAAGGTACATAGATTATATCTCAATAAATGAGTTTTTAAAAAAGCTTTTTGAGCCTAGGCAAAAAAATTAATTTTCTATATCCACTAAAAGTGTCGATTCACAATGTGAGATCTGGTTTTGTTCACTGAGGGAAAACTGACATGCTATGGACATTAGATGAGCAAATAAGAGCTGACATTCTATCAGTAAAATTAAGATCAACTTATCAATTATTATTCTCTAGCAACTCATCTCACAAAGGTGCCTACAAGTAACAACAGGACCATTCTCAAGGACAGTGTTAACTGGACTTCAAGCACATCAACAAGTAACTGAGGGCAACCCCACAACTTTCTGGGACGCAGATTTTAAACCATCTGGAGTTAAGGATCGCATTTTCCCCTAACCTGTTCCAGAGTAATACTTTTATAAAATACAGTTTAAAAAATACCGTGAAGACATTAAATTGCTGTAAAGTTTTAAAATGCTTAGTTTCAATTTCTTTCAACTGGTTGCAAACCAGTAACAGTTTACAAACCAGCACCAACCTATGGACCATGCTTTAAGTAGCGCAGATATAAAGTCTACTAAAGAAGACTAAAAACAGACATTATCCAGACTTTAAACTCATCCATTCATTTACCAGATTATTTTATTGAACATTTATGTGCTAGATAAACACCTTGGAATTGATCCTGAGAAATGCGATTCTTACCAACAGTTTCTGTACCATTCTACCCATAAGTTAGAGGTCATATATCCCCAAGGTATAAAGAGGTGGCCTGCTAAACAGTTACTTTTAATTGATATATTCTGAATAACAATTTTTGGTTTGACACAATTCATTTAAATGTTCCCATAGTATTTTGGCATCAACTCCTTAATAATATCTAAATAAACAACTATGTATGGTTAGCCTGGTACCATTCTGTACATTACATACAGAAGAGAACAAAACAGGCACCATCACCCCTCTATGCCCACACCCTGCCCTCAGAGAGCTTCTATTCGGGTGGTGAGAGACAATAAACAAAACAAAGGGGTAGAATTTTAGATGATGATAAGTACTATAAAAAAACTAAAAGCAGGATGGGAGCAGATAGTTTGTGTGAGACTAAGGTAGGAGTGGGGGTAGACAGGACGCTTAGTGATTTTATACAGGATGGGCAGAGAGTGCCTTCCTAAGAAGATAGTATTGGAACAAAGACCTGAAGGAGGTGACCAAGTGGCCCAAGCAGACTCAAGAGTGGTCCAGAAAAAACTACACAAATTCTAGGGCAGAAGTGTGCTTTAGAGAACAGCAAGGAGTATTGCAGCACTTGACTGTTTTCATACTCCTGTAATTGGAACACCCAATTACTCTAAAACCTTCCATTAGACTCTCAGTGCTTTGAAGGCAGAATTCTTTGTATCCCCAGGCCTTATTGCTGAATGAGAAAATTGTTCAAGCTGTAGTATTCTTCCCACCCAGATATTTCAAATAAAAAAGGACAATTTGCTTTTATTTCTAGCTACATTAATTTTGAGCTCTCTACCACATTTTATACATAGACTGTATGTTTATAAAATTTAAGGCAATCATCCTTAGTGAAATTTGACACTGCCAATTTTCATAATAACCAGCCACTACTCTGAGTCATGAAGTTCAAAGGTTAGCATTGAGGTCCAACAATGGATGTGCATGTGCCTGTTACCCTCATTCAAATGTTTCTATAAATTCCAGCTAAACAGCTTGCATATTCAATTTTCTTTGTAATTTCAATTGGACATGGTATTCTTCACTTTCCATTGTGAGGTCTGCTCCCCAAAGTCAACAGCTGCTAGGTCCCACCACACCTCAAGTTAAGAAGTGGCTTTATATTTCAAGATAAGCAATTTTAGTTAACATACAGAATGAGTATGCATAGGTATTCGCTGTCTAATGGCAACAGTATGGAAGGCTGTGTTCTTCTATAATGAAGAAAATCTTCTAATTTGTCCAATTCACTTGCAGAATTAGTCTATTGATGCATCTGAATAAAGCATTTCAAGTACAATGTAGTAGAGGAGACAGGATTTGAAGTTAAAAAAAGATTCTCATGGTTTCATTCTGTGAGCTAGGGTCATCTGTTTAACAAAATTTTCCTCATTCTGTAAATGAGAATTACATTCTCACTGGGTAGCTGCAAGAGCAAATGAAATCATGTGAAAATACAAAACAAATGCTAGTACTTGTTACACAGCAAGACGGCCCACGGCATGGTGGCTTGCAAGGCTTTTGGAAACTACACCTATTCAAAGTCGGTAAGATTGGGTAGAGAAATATCTAAAATCACCTTACTGGCTAGGTAAAAACGAGTGACTATTTAAATCACCTTACTGGCTAGGTAAAAACGAGTGACTATTTAAATCACCTTACTGGCT